TTCACAAGAGGGAACTGATCTCTCTCTCGGTGCAGCCAACGCTGCAGCAGGATGTGGTCAGCAGCTTGGCTGCTTCGCGCCTTTTTAGCATCGAAGTTTTCCGGGTGCCTTGTGAGTTTCGCTCTGTCCCGAGCCTGACAATATGGATTTCTTGGCTGTTGGTCCCCAGCCGCTGGTCTGTGTCCATGGCAGAGTCAGCATTGCTGTTCTCTTGTGAGAAAGGCAGGTGATTTTCACTCTCTGTCATGTAAAAATTACAAGTCATGGAATCATGATATTTATTATTATAATTGTTATAATAATATATCATCATAATATTTGTACTTACTTCATAATATTTGTCTTTACTAGAAAGACAGAGCGGCCTGCAGCCAGGGAGCTGAAAGGATTACCCTCCGTGTTTCTGTTGTGAACAACCAAGATGCACCAAATCCCTGACTTCTCACCAGGACAGTATTAAAATAGATACATGAGGTACACGTTCAGTGATTAACATGTTAAAAACCCAGTAATTCATGGATTTATTCTGAAGAGCATTCTTTGTAGGAATAGCTGCTTTATCTGATATATTTGCTTCGAAGAGTAAAACCATGATGTGCTGTGTCAGTGGCACCTGTCACATTAACCTGAACTGCGTGTGAGTTTTCTGAAATGCAAATATTATGCTAAAGCATCAGCCCACAATTTCAAAGTTCCTGGATGTTCCCACTTAAAGTATACTTGTGATTCAGGTGCATTTTAAATCCCACAGCAGCGTGGTGCACTGCCCTGTGGAGATGATAAAGGGGTGGTAGTTCTCTCAGTTCAGCAGTGGGGGTTTCTCTCCTTGAACAGACTCTGCTAGGGAGCTGCAGGTGCCATCGCTTTTTATGTTTGTTTAAAGCTGCTGCTACAATAGAATTTTCAAAACAAAAGGCAGACGTTACTGCGTGAAAAGTGTTGAAAGCCTCTGTTCCTGTTCTCTGTCTCATTTATTTTCTTTTTTCTAGTTCTTTCAACCTGTCAGAGCACAAATTTCGATGTATTTTCTGACCTAAAAAAGTGCTAACAAATAAGATATACACCACCACGTGAAGACACTTAAATTGCAGAGCATGTATTCAACACCCTTCGATTATAATACTCTTAAGTTGTAATAAAGAGTCTGGTTTCTAGTGGGTAAAGCAGCCTGAAGGTGATTTGGTTCTGAATCCCCTGATTCAGGCACACCTGGGCAGGTGGGGATAAGCCTTCAGACATTAATTAGCGCTTAATGAGTACTCACCGAGCAGGTAGCGATCATCGAGCAGGTAGCGATCATCGAGCAGGTGCCGTTTCCAGCGGGAGCCACCGCAAGTGAAGACGATGGCCCTCACAAAGTCCCTCCCACAGAGCCTCACTGCGGTCCCTTCCCCTTGGCCTTCCCTGGCCAGCACTAGCAGCGAGAGCAGGGCCAGCGCCAGCACTGTCCCCCTCATCCTGTGGGTGCTGTGCTCCGAAATGGGGTGACCGTGGGGCAGGAGGGAGCAGTGAGAGTGCTGCTGAGGTCTTCTCCTTTATAGTGGCGGCCTGTCTGCTCTGCTGCTAACCACTCATTCAGAGGGTGGCTTCTTGTTTGCTATAAACCAAGGTAATGGCTTTGTTTCCGGTCATGGTTGAAGTGCTTTGGGATTTTGGTCAGGTAGTAAAGGCTTCCTAGGACCACGTAATGGCGTTACTCTAGGAACACACGTAGTATAACGTGTTTATAGGGTACGGGCGTAGGTCAATGCTGTTAATGTGTATGTTCCACTAAAACACAAGGTGTTCATTATGTGATTTGTGGAGAATGGGGTTTGTCTCTGTTTCCCACACAGCTCTGCCTGTTAGCACAGTTTAAGCAATGCTGTGTCTTTTTCTGTTCGTGACCCTAACTAAAAGGGAGTTAACATTTTCCTGTGACATCCACAGTGTTCCTCTTCCTCTCTGCATTGTTCTTTTACTGAGCATCCTCTTGCCAAGCTGGAAACTGCAGATGCTTCAGAGGAACCTCCCAATACTGGGCAGTCATGAGAAAATCAGGTGCTGGGGGATTTTTTGGCAAATGTAGGCATCCAAGGCTGCAAATCCCCTGCTATGATGCACGGCTGCTGTGTGATCCTGCAGCATGCAGAGCATCTGAGTGCAATGAACACAAATTTTGCCATAACAAACTGTAGAGCAGTGGAGGTGCCAGGCGCTGCATCCGTAGGTGCAGTGGACTCGTGTAGAGGGCTGTGGACATGGCCCTTGTCCAAAAAGGCCCCAAAAAGAGAAAGAAATGGCTCTAAACAAAGCACAGAATAGCTACAGATCAGCGTCCCAGCTGCCCATTTCCTTTTGGTAACATCTGAGAGGCAGAAGTGGGTTCACCAAAGCAGCGTGGAGCGGCGATGCTGTGCTTGGGAACCAGAGGTTGGTACCTTGGTTATGCTGCCATGGATGCTGTTTGCTGCAATTGTAAGCTTCTGTAAAACACCCTTGCAATAAAATGCCTTGAGGAGAAAATCAGGCGATTACGAGGTCAGAAATTCCATTTTTAAGGACAAAATACATGAGGAACTTTGGAGATCTTCAGCACTTCCTAGCACCACAAGTGTTTTCCAGCACCATAATGCCACAGTTAATCGATTTACACTATGTGCAGGGTGAATTACAAGGTGTTGAAACCTCAACAGAAAGCTGGTTTTTTTACCAGTAGCATCTGTAAGTAAACAGTCATGACCGCCGATGCAAAATATATGGTGTCTTTTGCTCAGAGTTGTAATAATGATTAACACATGATTCACCTTAATGGGTGTCTTTCTTTGTAATGTGCAGAGATTAATTTTATGTCAAGGCTTAGCTTGTAATGTAACACTAAAATGTACAGACAGAAGTGACTGGTAATGCATCACAAATGGTCTTTAACTTCGGTGATGTGCTTAAATGCGGGACATTTATGGTCAGGCTAATGAGGGATCTGAGCACTCAGTGTCCATAAAACCCACCTAAAGCTTTCACAAGCAGGCAGCTATTGCCTCCCTCGGTTAGCAAGTTCCTCTGACGAGCTTTTGTATCGCATGGGACGAGGAGGAGATCCCTGCTGTGCTGATCCAGAAATAGGGCTGTAGCCTAAATCTTGGGCTTAATGACTCCTCGGTAGAGATGCTCGGTGTTTTCTGTGAGAAGTCAGGCTCTGAAAGTCTTCTAAGACACCACAGGCCAGCTGGTGGGTCACTGTTTCTACTGATCTGTCCCCAGAAAAGACAGCTGAGGCATTTCAACTCTCGCTGGGTGATGAGAGGTGGTGACATCTCAAGGAAAAACATGGATCAGGCTTCCAGAGGTGCCAAAGTCAGTCCTTGCTCTGGGACCATGCTGTCACCTTCTGTGAGGCACTTTTGGGAAAGGGTCAGTAGGGAACAGTGAATTTAAACAGCACTTTTATATGATCCCCTGTCAGGGGCTGGAAAAGTTGGTCTCTACTTTTGCCTGCAGCTTGCAGGAGCACCTGATGCCACTCAAAGCCCAGTTTTCACCCTCAGCAGTGGTGCATGGGGTGGACCTGAGGAAAAGTCCCTACATTTACCAATAAAGACTCTGGCTGTGTTACAGAGTGGATTGTACAGGAGGTGATTTGGCATTTCTGCTTTTGGAGTAACTCAAGGAGAAAAGACATTGGAGGAAAAAACGAGGAAAAAACCTAAGGAGAAGAGACTACGGAGACCTTTCCATTACCTTATCATATCAGGGAAGGCCGTCTGTGTACTGATACTGTTTGTCTAACGAGAGGGACTTCCAAGGGAAAATTTACAGTATTTGAAAGAAGTTTTTAACCAGCGTGGTGTCAAAGAGAAACTTTAATAATAGAAAAAGAATAAATTACTTCTGTTACTATTACAGAAAGCCTTTCTTGCTGTTTACCAGCTGAGAAGTGGTATCATTTAGCCACTGTTAAATAGCTGGAGAAAGACAAATTATGTCGTGTAAGTCCTCAACCTGTAAAACAAGAGGAAAAAGAGCTGTGTGACAGTGTAATGGCAGTATACGACATGCAGTGATCCAAAATTCCTATTTACGAACTGAGAGCAGAACTGCCTGTGCAGTGAGCATCCAGCAAGCAGACTGGAGGCGTTTGTGTTGTGTCAGCTGCTTTTTCACTGAAATTCTGTTAATACCATGCTGACCTCTAACAGTGCTCCTAGAAAATAGCACTTTTTGGCAGGCCTGTTTGGATAGCGTTTGTGGCATCACACTTAGCATGCAAACAGTTATCTTGTTTATGAAGGAACTTAATTTTCAAGGTGGATACGTGTCTGGTGGCTGTACTTAGATTAGTAATTATCTCTGTTTAGCATTAATTGTTATATGGACCTGTGGTGTAAGCCTTGTAGATAACAGCAAGGTCTCCCTAGGCTTAGGTATCAGAGAAGGGAGTTAAAGCAATGGATGATGCTGGAAAGTGAGGCTCCCCCTGGCTAACTGGGCTCTGTGAGCCAGTTATGCCACATGCCCAAAGTCTGTGAAATGAAGCACTGATATTTTTAGTCCTTGTCTGGTGAAAATTAACCCTGTATTCTTATTAACTGAAGAGCTTCTTGCACTCAGAGAATTTGGGCTGCTTGGTGGCAATTTGTAGGAAAGAAACCCAGTAATTTTAAGTTTAACAACAATGGCTTCATTTCCAGTTTTTAAGGGAAGTAACTTTTTTGCTCTGTGGTTTACAGCACTTGTCAAATGACACTGGTAGTTACCAGAATTTCCAAATGCAACGCTGACAATTGTGAATTATTAACACTTAATACCTTAAGAATGAAGGTTAGATTAACATCAGTATTGTCGTTCTCTCCTCCTTAAGTTTAGTGTTTTGCACCATGTAACTCAGAAGGGATTTAAAAAAATACCAATCCCGCTTTACACATTGGCATGCAGAAGAGCCGGAACCTCCTCAGGTTTTAATCTGGGTATGGATTGTGTCTGAATCCCCCTATTTCAATATTTTTAGCTAGATCTCTGACAGAACCCCCTTTCTGAGGAGCGAAGCCCCAGGTGAATACACAGGGCTCTGTGGATGTTTCCTTTATTGACCCATACCTTATCGCTGCTGGGAGCTACCAGGTTCTGCAGCTCAAACACCCACACTTCTCCTGCGCTGTCTCCCACCAGAAGGCAGTCAGTGTTCGGGCAAAGAGCACAGACATGAATTTTGTTTTTGGGTTGTCAAAGTGAGAGATCACGGGTTCCAAGCTGCAGCCCAGCAGACACAAGAATTAGTCCATAACATCACATTTGCCCAAGTGCACTATCATGGAAAATACTGCAGACCTGATAAATACTGTGTTTTATTTCATAAGTTCTAGATTAACTCAAAAACTAAGAAGTGAGGCAGTGTTCTGCTTGGTCTCTACCAGCACAAAAATCCCAGTTGCTATTAACTAAAATATCCTGGTTGCTAAAATCTGTCCTATTGCCTAATGTGATGGTGGTTAATATTTTTATTATAGGAATAATTTCCTTTTTGTTAACACAAGATTTGGTGGGGCTCCTCCTCCTCTGTGGGCTTTGCGCTGTCATTAATACAAAATAGTACAGATCAGCAGTGCAAGGCCCCAGATTAACCAAGCCACACATGAGCTGTGCACCTACTTTGGAGCAGCAAGAAAACGTGAGAGGTATCTGAACTTCTGACCATCTTACTTTTATAAAAGGTCCAAAGTAGTTCAGTTTTGTTGTTGTTTTGTTTTTTTTTTCTTTTAACTATGGCAGTGGTAAAATCTATGACTTCTGCAGCAAAAAGCGGTTTTACCCTTTATCAGCTCCATGAGGCATCGAGCTCCTTCTCTCATAATCATCACAATTCCTTGGTAACTACCATTTGCTTTTACAAAATGAGTATTTTAAAATGTGGTACTTTAACTAAGCAAGTAAATGGAATGGAGCTGTTGTGATCTGGTAACAATACTGATAATACCCTGTAGCCGTTGTGCCATGAAGGTTCAGAATCTTCTCTGAGAAAAACACTTACATGCTGACCCTGAGATCCCAGACTTCTGCGCTGCTTTCGTTTGCTGCTGCAAATATGAAGGCTGATTTTGGAGACCACATAATGTCATGAACAAAAGCAGCAGTGGAACTGAAAGTTAAAACGGGTGCCTGCAAATGCTGGTGCCATAAAATAACGCTCCAGTCTGGAGAGCAGCTCAGGAATGTGTCGGTGCTGAATGGATTCCAGGCCACTTTGTACACTGGACCCTTGGCGTTTGGGAAGAAATGAAAAATTACTTGGTGTTATTCCAGAGCTGCAGCCTCCCAGAATGGTTTTTCATAGTGACCTTGCATGGAAATCCCTGGCTGTCCTCTGACCTTAACAGTGAACATTGTTTTAAGTGTACCCGTAGGAAACTGGGATGCAGCAGAGGTGATAAGGCAGGAGAGATCTTAGAAATAAAAAGCATTCAGCTGATTCTGTCCCTTCAGTCATTAGGAGAGGTTGATGCTGAAAGAGCAGCTTATTGGGTGACAAAAAGATATGGGTTTTTTTGGTTTTGTTTTTTTTTAAAAGGTGCTGGTAAAGTTCTACCATCTTTCTGTTGGAGGTAAGACTAACTGTGGATTCCAGGACAATCCAATTACTGATTGTTTTCTTAAAATGAAGCCAGAACTGAAGCTTTAAACCAGTTTATGGTACAAGTTTTAATAAATTACTTTAAAAAAATAAATCCTTATAGTGTAGAAAATAATCCTGTAAGGCTGTGATGCTTTATGCTGTGGGAACCCATTTCTATACGAGAAAAGAAGTTTAGGTTTCTTTTGTTGCAGATGTCTTGTTTAGTAAATCTAAGCAAAGAAACTATTAAATTTGTGAAAAGAATTGAACAGTTTCTGCTGTCATTACTTTATGTATCACTCACATTATGGCCCCTGTATGTTTCTAGAAACTGCTCACGGCACAAACAAGAGCACTTGTGGATATGACCCTCTTCTGTTCCAGCCAGATAAAAATTAGTGTCCTGAAAGAAAGTTAAAAGTAACCTAAATTGGATTAACCCATTTATCACTCATCCAAAAATATACGAAGGACTGGATGAGTTGTACAGTCTTGGTGCCAGAACGTATCAGACTTGCGATGTGTGTTCTCCATCTGCACAGGACATACACTGCGATTGCTGACTCCTGAAAATCTCAGATGTTGTCATCCACATGAACAAATGAATGAGTTCTTCAAATGTTCTGAGGACAAAATATTCAGCTGGATAAAGAGCAGCAGCACAGCCACCTGAGCCCTAGACTCAGGAGATGCTGAACAGCCAAATTCTCACTGATTTGACCAGTGCGCAGAGGAGAGCGACAAGTGAGTAGCCTGGCTGAAATGCTGCAGTTGTTAATGTACAGGATTGCTTGCTTGGTGTACCATACCATCCATTTTGGGTAAAACTCTTGCCAGCTAAGAAGCTATTTGTTTCAGAACTAAATGTGCTTTAAATACCAGTGCAAGTGCCAGGGTAGTGCATATTAAAGTAGCTCCAGCTGCGGATCTTCCCCCTGCTCCATACTTTTCCTGGATAACACTTTAACCAGGATGCACTTTCTTCACCTACCTTTGGATGGAAGTCAAAGAACATCCCAGCTGCCTGGTGAGATATCAGAGCTTCCTTTTTCCTTTCTTTCTCACCTGGTAATTTTTTCTTCTCACTTTCCCTTCATTTTATTTTCATGAGATCTGTGCAAATAGCAAGAGTTTTTGTCAGACAGGTATGTGACAGTGCTACAAATAACTCATGCTCCTGTGGGATGCTCAACAGCTCTTAAATGTTTTCTGTATGGTAGCTGGTATAAAAAGCATCACCTAAAAGAAAATGAAGCAATTGCAATTTCGGGTATTATCCCTCTGCAGAAAAGCTGCAGGGGAAAATGCTTACCAGTGCAGTCCATTCTTTTCTGGATAAGCCACTCAGTTACTCGGCCATCTGCTGAGATGCAGATTAATCTCTCTTTTTTGCCATCTCCTGCTGCACCTCTGTCCTGTTCCACCCACCGCAGCTGCCATACAGGACCTCTATGTTTATTTGAAGATTCACTGGGACAAAAAATGCTCATGAGAAATCGTATATGAACAAAGACAAGACGTATATTTGAAAAATAATTAACCTTTCTTTTCTCAGACACATTTGAAATCTAGTTTCAGGGCACTGTTTAATGTGGTGACACACCTCTCATTGATACCTGATCATTAAATCAATATGCACCTTGTAGGACTTGGAGAGCTGCCCTCATCCCTGGTTATGCCTTCTCTTTCTTCTTAATTCCTGCTTACCCCTCACCTATTCTGACATTCTCTCCAATTCTGCAGGTGAAATTGGTGAGAAAACACCAATAGCTACCCCTGGTCTCCCATAAGGATTTGTTATCTGGGGAGGATTGTCCTAGGTAGTTAGTGCCTGGAGAATAAAATGATACATGCTGGTAACTTGCTGCATTTTCTTAAAGTCTCACAGTAGTAATTTGTTTCACTTTTCCAATGTGGGAAACTCACTTTGTACGCACAGCAACAGCACAGAGTGTTTCACACCCCAGATAAGGATCCGTGGTGTTCAAGTAAGCATTTATCAGCAGAAATAAGAATAGAGAATGAGAGCAGTGCAGAGGGAGAGTGGCAGTAGCTGAGCGTTCGGCTGTATCAAGGGGAACAGGTGGATGGAAGCAGCCTGGTTCACCCACTCTGGCCCTTCCAGGCATTTATTGCATAAATATTTGTATCTGCAGCTTTGCTGCAGAAACTTTTGGTATTTTGAGAGTATTGAGTATCTATGCAGGCATTTCCCATCAAAACTGGAAGATACCGGCAAAAGTTGGAAATGAGCATTTGGAAGCTATACTTATCGAGACTGTTACTATTCCCTCAGCTTCTCAGTTGTGGATATTCTTTTATTTATTGACTGAGGTAGGAGAAGATGGGAAATCACAGCCTTACCTGCTGTCCAAAAGCGCAGCATCGTTATGACTCTGTACATCATAGATTGCCACAGAACCATTGTACATTCCCACTGCCAAAAGATTCGGGTTTGCCATGGAAAAATCCAATGCAGTGACACTGTGCTCACACCGGAAAATACGCTCTGGCCACTGACACAGAGAAAAAACAGGAACGTTTTCATTTAGTTTCTTAATTTACCTGGGTTTTCTCAATGCTGGATACTAAATTGCCAGGCTCTGCTGGAAAATTCAAGTGCTGGTGACCATAGTGACTACTTCTAGCCAGAAATTAGCTACTCTATTCTAAGTGGTTCAGTTTATTTCTTGCTACAACTCATAAAATGAGGAAAAAATAAAGACTATGCAGAAATATGACACTGTAAAATGAGTTAGATGGGCCTACTCCAAACCAAACACCTAAAAACCAAGTTCCCTAAGATTCAGCTGTGTGAGTTCAGTGTGGGCTTTTTGCTTGTTTGATTTGTTTTTTGTCTTTTTAAAACAAATTTGCCATTTTGGAAAATTTCTCCAGTTGTTGTCTATGTAATGTGAAGGTAAGTACCTTTCCAGTTACAGAAACTTAGCTGCAGATAAAATGCAATCTAATGTACTTCATGTAATCTGTAAACCGCTATTTTCACCTAATTTCTCTATGTAACCAAAGAACTGATTCAGCTCTGGTTTAAGATTAAATCCTTAAAGTCGCTGCACCAAGCTCTTGAAATGGGGAACAGCAGTGGTTAGTTTGCAAATAAATGTATTTCCATGTGCATGCCAGACCTTATTTCTTAATGTTGGGCTCTTGGACTGCGGTGACACCAGGAAATCACAGGAGTATTTGTTGTTGAGGTGATAAATATGCATCAAAGACTTGACTCTGCATGATTTATCTTAGTCTAATACACAATTTGGGGCATGTGAAGTGTGTAGAACATGTAAAAGAGTTGTGTAATTTGACAGCAATCAGGTGATTTTTACTGTGTCGCTTTGTAACCAAGATTTCCCAGACTTTTTTTAAATTTGCTAGTTTAAAAAGCATCACTTTTCAGATGGATATGTAAAGATGTAAATGTTGCATCTACGAAATCTACTTTTTGACAGTATTATGAGAAGTTAGATTAGATAATTATATTTAATTATATACTTTTTCTTCTTCAGCCTTCATGGTACCATAGAAAATGGGTTGGAAAGCATAATCCTTAAATTTAAAATGCAAATGTTCTGTAATGAGACTTTGGAGGCACTGAACAAATGGTCTATAGATTTTGAAAAACAAAGGTAAATAGATTTATTTTCACATTTGCTGTGCTCAAGACTTTTCCAGTCTAAATAATAATTTCTACACACCTGGCTCTACCCACACTAATTAAAAACAGATTTACAGCCTTGGGTAGGTCACCCTAGGGTCTGGAAATGGGATGGAGAGGTCTGCATTGCAAAGTTGCCCGGCATAGACCGATGCTACCTGAGGGTTGGACCCATCTGTTGGTTGTTTGGTGGCCATGTGCAATGAGTTTAGTTCCTGTGAACAGATGTCCCTGTCACCAAACCACCAGGACAGCCAGCGCCTCTGCTGGAAGTGTCAACTGAGAGGACAGACGGGCACAGAAATTAAACTGCTTGCTATGGGCACTTTCTTTGGGTCGAGGTTTAATCATGTTGCTAGGTATTGCAATCAATTTTCCAGAAATGGTGTAGTTTGGGCTAGCAAATTCAATGTTACTGCTTTTTGAGACAGGACGAGGGCTATAAATAAAGCAGAAATAGGAGAGCAGAAAAATGCATTGAGGAAAAAGAAAGAATACAAAGTGGCTGCTCATTACCATGGGGTTCTTCAATGACCAGCAGCAAGCCAAGCCTTTCTTCTGGTCTTTAAAATCAAACGCTCCATAACCAACAGCTAAAAGGTCCTAAAAAAGCACAGATGACGATACAGATCTCAGTTTAACTTGAAGTGCAGTTTTATATTTTTAAAAGGCTACTTTCTGCTAACAGTGACTCTCAGTGCTAAGTCTGGAAAAATAATGTTGTATGGAAGCAGAATAACACACAAGAAGAGCAGAATTTCAAAATTTTGAGTACTGGAAACTGGTTCAACTAAAAGTGCATTCATAGTCACTGTCAGCTGTGTCTGCAGTCCTCTCTCCCTGGCCATCATAAAACTATGTCCCTTTCCAGAGATGAATATACATTATTCTATAACCCTATTTTAATGTGCAGTATTTAATGGACTACATAAAAATACTTATAATTTTCTCTCTCAGCATTAGCTGTAAAAGGAGCTTCAGTGACCATTCAAACTCAAATTCTGTTCATTCCTTGCCATAAGCAGAGGTAAGAAACAGCAGCAAGACTTCAGTCTTCAACTTCGTTAATTTATTTTCCTACACAAAACAACTTGTTTGTGAAACTACCACTTCAAAAGCAGGTATTTGTTTGCCCTATAATGCTAAGACTGAAGTCTATAAATGTGTCCAACTTTAGAATATCTGGGGATCTGGTGTACTAACAGTATGAAATGGTCTTTATTTTTGGCCTTTCTTTTTTTCCCTTGGGGCAATCTTACCGGTTTTATGTTCCTCATCCTCACCTGCTTTTTGCCTTCTTTCCATTCATTATTTTTGTTGTGGCCATGAGACTGTTGGAAAAACTGAGCCTTAAATTACGCTGAAAGTGGAGATGTCTGAATCATTCTCACCTCCACTGAAACCAAATTAAATAAAGTTGGGCCAGCTGCTCAGAAATCTGTGCCTGTTATTATGCATCTTATCCTTCAAGTTTGATAAATGCCACTTTCTTAGGAGACTACTGTTAGAAACAAAGATGTTGTATCTAAACTATCATGAATTAACTCCACCAATGATGATGAAGTTTAGTAGTAGGTATATTTAGTATTTCAACTTACAATGCTGTAGGGACGAATCTGTCTGAGATCTCTCCCAGCAAAGTACATCAAAACCAGTTTATTTACACCAACAATTGCTTATACTATTTTGCAAACAGCTTAGAAGAAGCAATTGGTGAACTCATGGGGTTTACTTTGTTCCAAGCCATAGTGCTTACGCTGTGACCATTAGTTAAATCACATATGTATGACCACAGATGTTTCAGCTGGGGAGGTTCCACTTCTGGAGTTTTATTTGGATCTGACAGAATCGATGGGTCAATGAATGCTTCTTTCTGCTCTTCCTTATCCTTCTTTTCCTTGTCATGCTCTTCCTGTTTAGGTTCTTTCACAGCTGTTACTGTACCACCAGAGGTAACATCGGGATCTAAAACACACAAATATGGTAAAGTCTGAGTAGTAACATTTCATTTATTTAACTCCAGTCATTCACAGTCAGAAGAAAAATTTGCCCTTTCACCAAATATTTTGCAGCAAACAAATAATTAAGTGAAGATTTGAGGAATTAAGGCATCCTAACTTCTACAATTGTGGCTAAAATGTTGATAGGAACATAGAAGGTACCTCGATCAGGCTGTAGTGTGCCTGTTATGCTGCTGGTGTTTAATGAGTGGATTTAGCTACCCAGCAACAAGTTGCAAATTTATGTCCACCCCCCACCAGGAATGTTTCTAATATCTCATATTGAAAGATTTGTTTAAACAGGGATTTTTTTTAAAGTTAGGGGCAAGATTTTAAAGAGCTACACTTACTCATTGATGCTGTAACACCATAGCTAAGTTACATGATGCTGTAATAAATTGCTCATTACTTGGGAAAAATTAAGTGTAGAGCATATTTTTAGGCTGTGTTTGCTAAGTATATTTTTATTTACTCACCCCTTTATGTAATGAGTAAATCATAAATTGATCTTAGATCACTGTTAACAAAATAAGAATACAATAATTGCCATATTGCCAGAACAAAAGTTCTGGCCAGTATCATGCTGCAGCTGTAGTTCCTGAAGAGTGACAGGATATAGCAGGCTCATTGCCTGAGAAACTGAAACTCTGTGACACAAAGAGGTACAACACAATAAAAGCAATGTGAATCTGCCTTTTTAAATCCTTATGTTAACTTAGGACTAGTGTAAAGTTAAAATATTACGTAGCACTTGAGGTAATGCCTCTTACAGTCTGCAATTAATGTACTTTATGTTAGACAATGAACATCTATCAGGCTAAAACTTCTGTTTACCATTAGTCTCCTTCTAAAATATGTAAAAAAAAATCCAATGTAAAAATGGCTGGAAAAGTAGCAGAATGAATCTGTACTTTCACTGTCAGGAAATAAGTTGGATATTTGGAGTTAGTATCAGTTTGTGGTAGAAAGGGGAGATAAGTCAGCTGAGAACTCATTTATTCAATTCTTCCACCACATATGATAAGGATGTCAGATAAAGTGAATGTAAAACTGCAAAGTTCATGTTGACATCTCATAAATTCTTTTCTTTGTCTATTTCTTAAATGACTTCTTGTCTGTAAAGACATTCAATGAGGGATGTAACTCCGTGACTTTCAATAGTGTTCAAAGTTTTGTGGTGAAAAGAGGGCAGCCAAGAAGAAACAAACCTAGAAGGACAGGAAGCTGCCGATAAACTGCAAATTTGGGTTGAAAAATATTCTTCATTAGAATCCTCTCCATGAAAAATTTTCCTGCTGAAAGTTTTCTGATGTTAATATAGCTTCTGAATGGCATTCCTCTTCTTCGTGGGTTCTGGCGAGAACAGCACTTTCCAACATCGTTATAGAAGCTGTGCTGCCTGACAACAGAGAATATGGGAAAAAAACAGTTTTAACTTGATAATACTTTGCACATAAAAGTCAAGGAGATAAAAAGTCTCCTCCTCCTTCACCTGAAAGAAAAAGCATAGAAGAATTTATAATCAAAAAATACTCCCACTATTATGTTTTTCTTGCTTTCTTTTCTTTTATTGCTAAAATATGCAGTATTGTGAGATACTTCTGGAATGTTTCACAGTTGTTTTGCTTCTACTGTCCTAAGTAAGTTAGCACCAGCAAGCTTTGTCACTGACTATTTAAGATTATTTATGATGGCATTGTACAGAAGAGGTCTCAATGCAGACCTGTCCAAGATTCTTTAGCAAACTCTAATGCCAGACGAAGCGTTTTCTTCATGTAATTTTCACCACATAGCACAGTGATGTGCATTTTCTAGGGGGATGAAAACACGGTAGAGATGTAAACCTGGAGAAATGTTACCTCTGTTAGAAGAGATGGTCATAGTCTGATCGTGTTCTTTAGTTGCATGAGATTTGCTGCCTTTCCCATCTGTGGCTCTGTTACCATCTGCTTTTGATGGAGTTTCTGTTTCCGATACATTAAATGAATCATACAAGTCCCAGGACGTGACCATCACCCCTAGAAAGGAATTACATTGTATTATGTAAGTCTCTTCTATCAGTACGTTATTATAAAGGTTGACCTACAGCTGAGCAAAGATTTACTTTTTTCCTACACTCCCAACTGTTTGGAGAGGGACTTTAAACACAACTGCGGGTCGGCCAAGGCTGTAGCAGCAGCTGTTGTGGGATTGCTGCTTCAGGGCCTTTGGGGTGTGAAGCTTCCCTTCTGCAGGCCCATCTCCTCGTGAAACAATGCTCTGTAACCTGCCTCTGTGCGCTCAGCTCTTCAAACACGTGTTGGAATGAGCCCTGCTGATGCTCAAGGCACACAAAAAAGGGGAAGATATGTTTTCAAATCAGATTAGTTTCTATTTTACTTCTCCTTTTGATATTTTTTTCCACTCATTTTATATACACTAACAAACACAAAGGAAAAATGTTTGTCACAGCATTCCTCACAGTTCTCTTTGGCCACCTACACAAAAAAAGATATTCATAGTCAGGCAAAGCTCAGAATATGCATATAAAAACTAGAGGTAATCCTCTATAATTTTTTTAGAGCATGGAGGCTGAACATTTTGTAAAAATGCATCTAGCTTGTGAGACTGCCAAGATTTCCCGCTTTCCCCAAGATTTTATATCTCATAACAGAGGTTCTCCTCTTTGCATTATGGCAAATAAAAGTAGAAACCAACATCACTGAAAAGTTAAGGAGGAAGAAAAGGAACTGTGCCCTTTCATATGTTAAGTATTAGGTAAAGTTCTTCTGAACATCTTCTCCTGCTTAGAGATGGAAGAAATTAAAAACCCTTTCCTCAATGTCTTACCTGTGTGCAGGGAGTCTTCTGAGATCCCATGATGGAGCTGTTTGCTAGATTCTTCCTAAATAAATACTTAAAAAGTAAACCAAATATAATAATAAACCCAACTGCCAAGGGTATTATGTAGTAAATGAGAGCCTGTTCTTATTAAATGCTCTTTCCTATATGGTTCTCGGAGAGTTTACCTTTATCTTCCACGATGATTTTGTCACATTGCACTTCCTTGTTCTTTATGGCTCCATTAATGGTTTGCGTCATTTTTTCTACAGAGAGATCATTACCAAATCTGTTTTGGCAGAAGTCAGCATAAATCTTATTCCTCTCCCTTGGAAAAGAAAAAAAAAAGTGTATATTGACTTTCTGAAAAACATTTGCATTCAACTTCTCAGTGCATTTAACCACAAGTTGAACAGGATACTCTATGTCATAAATTTATTGCTCAGGATTTTGGATTGCTAGATTGTATTTCGTTCTACATATCAACTTTCAGCAGCTATTTCTGAACTTGTGATGCTGTTCTAGTCCAGAAATGGCCTGTAGAGGTAGGCATCAGCAAAAAAATCCAACTACCTTTGCACTGTGGTGGAATTAGGAGGAGTTAGAAATACACAGCTCTCATCGCTTGGGAGTGAAAGGTAGCACGTCCAAAAGATAAAACTGAAACAAATACATTTCTATTTCATCCAGCCCTCGGGTTTGGTAGGAATGGTCAGTGGGGATTGTGTAACTTTTACTGTTATTTTGTTTTCAATGTTCTAACAGCAGACACGGGTTATACCCAGCCTTTGCCCACCAACAGGTTGCTGTGCTCAGGAAGATTCACTGTCTGTGCCTATAGAGTTGGCAGTACATGCTGTCCACACCAGCATTCTCTGAATGCTCTTCCTCTTCTTTCTTCCCCAAAATCACACCAGTGTGATTCACAGGCAGTGGGAGTTGGAGTCCTACCATTATCTTTGTGTGTGTACTAGCAGAAAATACTCGTTTGGGTACGTTTTTTGGCTTGCTAGCTGCAGTACACTGCATCTCAGGCTCTGGGGCTTACAAAAGCCATGTGAGAAGTCTATCAGTCGGGCATCCATCATGGAGAGCACTTTGCTGCACTCTGTCCCAATCTGCAACTGGGAGTAAGCCAGAAACCAGTGTGGGTTAACTCCCTACCAAAGTTCATGGTACTTCAGGGAGTAGAATCTGAAGTGGGACTGCGTGAGATGCAGATAAGGGAAGACACAACAATTTAACAGACAAGGTCGCATTGCTGGGGTGAGGTTTCTTCCAGCTAGAAGCGCTATGAAGGGCTTCTGAAGAAACCAAGGCCTGCAGTTTATATCTTTGTTATTAAAAGTTTGTTTGTTTTTAGTTTATATCACTGTTATTAAGAAGTGATTGGCTGTAAAGCTACGCACAAGAATCAGTGCAAAGGTTTGCCATTTCTTACTGTTTTCATGAAAACTGTGTAATTCATGTGTACCCCACTACTCCATCTCCCCTTTCCTCTATCCCATATGTTCTCTTGTTATTACCCCCTGCTTTTACTAATCTGCCTTAATTTATCAGTGAAAGCAGGTATGAATTTGATTGACAAGATGGAGTTGTAAGGAATTTGGGCTGTCTTGTCAAAGGAGAGACTCAAGCCCAATGTGGCTTTCAGCAAAGGTGAAATGATAAATTGTAGCAGTTAGAACACTGAACCGATGTGTGAGCAGCCAGCTCAGGACCTTGCGATCAGCAGAAACGGGGTGTGCTGAGCGTACTATGTGCATGTACACAGCTACTGATATACATACTGAACTCTTTCAGCATCTTCTGATTCTACAGACATCACAGCAGGTGATATATCTAACATCCAAAGAGTTTCTGTCTCTGTGAGGTAAATATCCACTCTCTTATCCAAGTCTTCATTCGTCAGTTATTTAATCTCCTCCTGCCTCCCCTGCATATCTGAAAAATTATAAGTTAACAAGTGAGACGTTTTCTGCTCTAAATTTAAAAGAAAAGAAGTTTATTCTAGAAGTATTGTAATGATCGAGAGCCAAAACTTGTGAGGCGCTGAGTTCCTTTGAAGTGCTGGGCATTTTGCATCCACAGACTGCAGTGTCTCACAAATCACAGCACTGCAAAGGATAGCTTAAATTTATAATTATACAGTGTATGTTCTTTACCAGATACGCTAACAGTTGTGTCTTGTTGAGAGCCAGGTTCTACTGTTTCATTGAGGGTGGACTCAGCTGTTGATAGGTTCGATATAGAAGTATTGCTGCTTCCGTACATCCTTCAGTAACAAAGAAATAAGCAGAAATAGCATGAGAGAGGCCAGATGTCAGTTAGCAAAGCACCACAAAAATAGCGACGTTGTTATCAGGATAAACCACAGAAGACTGCAATAGCACGTACAGGGATGACTGTGTTGTGAACAAAGTTATAGGAGGCTTAGGAAATAAAATAATTACATGGTTTGGAAAAGACTTAAAAAGGAAGAATTCCCCTGGCAGCATATCTGGAGGCATTAAATAGCTGATGGAAAAGAAGCTGTTGAGTTCTCATTCATTCTTAGCTTATAATGATGTGAAGTGTTGGCTACCTGCTGTGCAATAACACGTACCCACAGACAGCACTGCTCTCACCCAGAACCTAGATCCTCTGGTGCTTTGCATGTGCTGAAATGTCTTTGCAATGCACAAGAAACTCATGTGAAGGGATTAGCTTCAAAAAAAAAAATTAGGTAACATTGATATGATAACTATAAGTAGAACTCAAAACTTAAGTACGGTTGGGAGGTTTGTCAGCAGATTTTCTCTTCCTCAAAAGCTAAGTGTGAGCAACTATAAATATACAAAAGGCATTTGAAAAAGACAATTGTTAAGATTTGTATTTAAAGCTGAAGGTAAATAATGTAATTTTGTTTTTTAAATGAAGAGCTCTTGTCTTCAGTAAGGATGCTTTTATTTTTCAGGCGATACCTTGTATTTTTAATTAATTCTTTTGTGTATATTTGCTCCTAGTTAATATCCCTGCCTCAGGGATTATCCTTTATGATAGCCACCCTAGGAAACATGACAAAAAGAGAGGTCTCAAGGAGCAATCTCTTTTTCTCAGAAATCACAATGGCATTAGGTTTGCCAAAAGAAACAGTAAATAAAGCTTTTCTTTATTTAACATGTATTTTTTCCAGTGCTGACTTTACTAGTCTTTTAGTCCCTTTAAATAAATAATATCTCCTCTCCATACAATTTGAATGTATACACAGCGTTGATAAAGGGATGTGGTTCATTATTTTTCATTTTAAACACAAATAGTTACCTTCTTTTGCATGACTTAATTGGATTTGTCAGCTCAAGTCCATTGACTTTGTTTATTTTCTCTATACTGAAGGTTTGTAAATGAAAATGAGGAAGTCATGAAACATGTAATTTAACAGTTTTAACTCAAAAGTTTTCATATAAGAACATTTTTTGAAGTGGATGCACATAATCACACAGAAGTAACTTGCTTAAATTAGTTCAAAAGAGAGGATTCTTCTGTGTTAACAATATTTTGATACCTGAACTGGAGGAGTCAAGTTTTTTAAAAGGGTTGTCTGTGCTGAATAAGTATCATTAAAACTGAAAAAGTACTTTAAAAGAAATGTGTAACTCTTCAGTGAAACCAGACCTTTTGTTACCAGAGCGTTTTTCCATACCCACAGTTAAGCAGGTTTTGATATCTTCCAGTTTTTGAAAAAACAAACTACTTGAGGAAGGCAGAGAGCACCTGAAGTAGCTAAAGGGAATGTATTAATGGGCTGCAAATGCCCCTTCTCGCTGTGCAGCCTTGCTCAGACAACAAGAACACAACCTCCTCTGTCTTTAAGATAGTGCTTCACACACTTTGCATACAGGCTAAACCATTACAAAACCTGCAGTTTGGATGTCTGCATGGTTGATCTGTGAGGTACTCATCACCCTCTCTAAAATGGTCCATTCTGGTTTGTTACATTAAAAAAAAAAGTGTTTTAGGAAGGAGAATTTAAATAAAATTATAAATCTGACAGGAGTGTGTGTGGCAGCCTGCTTTCACCAGCATTTCAGCAGCAGTTTTGACATTTATTCTATTTGTTACTATTCCTCAAATTTTCAATGATGACTATGACTGGTGAGCTGCTGTATTTTGGGCACAGAGTATAATTATTAGCCCTACAAAATTATTCCAGTTCCCGGTCTCTCTGAAGAGCAGATGTGTGCCTGCTGCAGGGTAGAACCTTATGGTTCTACCATTCTTAAATCTACAGGATTTAAGAAACACATATTGACTTACCTTGAGAACGAAGCTAAACTAGCATTCAGTCCAGATGTGAGAAGAAACAAGAGAAAACCAGATTCTGCAGCCCCAGAGTAAGCACTCAATGCCAAGAGCTTGCCCTGCCTGGACACAACGGTACTTGCATCTGGG